ATTTACTCGTACATAATAGCAGAATTTCGTTTTACTAAATATTACAGCAATATTAAAATTTACATTTCGTGTTTTAAATTCCAAATTAAATACTAGTTTCGATATCATCAAGAGGAAGGAAGCAATTATTAATTTTAAATTATCAAAATTATCAAAATTTAAATTAAGTCATATTTTTTGTTTTTAAATGCAAATTTATAATAACAATATTGGTTGTCCAAAATAAGAATACAGTAAATGGCAAATTGAAAAATATTGAGGTGAAAGCAAAAATTTACTTTTAAATTAATTTTATAATTTTCTGTATATTCGGTTTTCAACATTTTATTCCTAGTAGAAGATTTTAAGAGTTTAGAGAGTAAGAGGAGGAAAAAAGGGCCTTTTCTAGTTGAGTGTATTAAGCATTGATTCTAGTTTTTTTCTCTAATTGAGTTAGTAAGCATTGATTTCTAATAGATTGCCTAGGAGGGCTTCATTTACAAAAAGTCTTAATTATTTTCACGCTTTTGTTTGATTTCTCAAAAATTTTATTTTGTTCATTACTGTGTATTCTTCTTTGAGGCAATGAAATTCTAAACCTTATATAGAAAATTTTTATAAGTTTTCTATAATGAACTTTTGCATTTGTGTTTTTATTCAAAATAAAAAAGTTTCATTTTTTCCATTTTTCATCACAAATAAAATGAAATTCTTTGAAAATGAACTAAAAATAATAATAAATTTAAAAACCATAATTTTAAAAATATTTACAAAATAAATTTTTTAATGATTCTTATACGCCATTTGTAAACTTGTGTTTTATGGAGTCATTTCTGGTATATTGAAAAGTTTTATTTATTTTTTAAGTTCATAAAGTATACGAGATTTGTCCTAAGCGATAAAGTAAAAATAATTGCTTCCTTTTTTTTTCTTTCTTGTTCTGTTCTTTCAATTCTTTCAAATCGAAAATGAAAACAAAATAAATTAAAAGTGAAATGAATATTTTTGTTTTTTTTATAACACTATTAAAAACGCGCATAAATAAAATAATAAGTCATTGAAAAATTAAAAGTTATTTATTATTATTTGAAGAAGAAAGATAATCGCCCGGAAAAAAATGATTTTGTTTACAAAAATTCATTTTTGAATTTTTTTTTTCCTTCTTTTCTTAAATCATACAATAAAGTACAAATTTTTAAATAATTTTATTCTGTTTTCATTAAAATTAGTACAGTGTGGTTTTAGAGTTCTGAACGGCAACCTTTTAGTGGTATATCGAAAACTTTTAATTTATCAACTACAAGTTGTTTCAATTAAAAAACGAGAATATATAGAAGTAGATCGTGTCCAAAATAATTATATTAAAAGTTGTATGATAATTGTCATACCGTTTCATAAGGCATCTTGTTGTACACCAAATGTATAGTGGTATTTTATATTATATATAAATTATATAAGCCAGTAGTTATAATAAAAATCCATAGATCCTCAAAGACTTTTACCAAAAATTAGAATTAAAGTGGAAAAATTTCCGTCAACATTTTAGTCCGTAAGCGACAAATTTATAATACTCTTCGAACATACATTCACACAGGTATGATAATAGAATTTATTTTTGATTGTAAACTTTTCAGTTCAGTAAAAAAGCAAATATTGAAAAATAACACAACAGTGGTTCAAAAATTCACTTAGCTTTTTCATTTATATTGAATACCTCTACAACATGTTCGATTCTTATGTCAAACAAGTTCATGCTGAATGAATAAAATATTTTTCGTAAAATGATTTTTCATTTCATATTTTCAATTCAAAATTTTTCGAATTTTACTCAATTTTATTCAAATTTATTAAATTTTAATACTTTCAAACTTATGTGAAATACATGTACAACATGTTTGATACAAATAAATTTTGTATAAAATGAATATCATACTAGGCTTGTTAAAACCTTCATTTCATAGAATTTCATTCACTTTTATTATATGTACATATGTATACAATGCAGTTGAACATCTTGTATGACAATATTTTTTATATATACATTTAATGTTTTTTTTTTTAAGTAAAAAATTTTCATAGTACGTTGACTTTATTGTATGTATATTATTCGATTCTATATAAATTTTAACAGAAAATTGTTGATTTTTTCTCATTTATTTTGTTTTTGGTTTGTTCTTGTTTTTTTTGTTTCTTTATTTAATGAAAGAATTTTTTTTTTTTTCATTTTTTTTAGATAAGCAGTTTCATTATTTTCTATATGTCAGCTACATTCACCACAATAAGCCATATTATAAAGTTGGTGTTGTAAAAAAAAAGTATGACAAACATGCATACACCAACAAAATAATATCAGAGAAAATTTTTTTTTGTTTTCTCTCTTTTTTAGAATTATTAAAAAAAAAAGAGTGTGACTAAAATTATAAAAATTCATTTTGTTGTTGTTGTTCTTCTCTTGTTTTTTTGTTCTGTTAAGCATTTATTAGACATACAATTATAGATTTTTCATTATATTTTTTTTAAAGCTTGGTAGGTACTTGTTTTTGCCCGTTGGAGGCTATATTGAATTTATATTAAAATAAGAAAAAATAGAAAAAACAGAAAATTGTGTGGCTTTTAGGTTTAAATTTTTTTTTTTTTAATATTTTTAAACATAATTTAAAGTGAGCTAAGCGCGATAAATAGATGACAAAGAATAAGAAAAAAAAATTGAAGATAAATTTTTATAGTCACGTAAAATGCTCTGGCTTGTTGATTGCATTCATTCGAATTAAAAATTTATACCAAATTTATTAGTCTACAACAAAAATATGTGTTTAAAAATGCGATTATTTTGCAATAAAGATAATTATGTATGTATTAAAGAATTTGATATCGGTTTTATTTTCAAAAGTAATTAGTCATCGAACATGTTGTGATTCATTACAACAAACTGATTATAATGTTAAATTCTTGTTCACTATTAATATAAAAGAAGCTATTAAATTTATCACAATTAGTTATTCAAGAAAATTGTAAAAACAAGAATTTAAAAAAATTCGCTCAAAAATCGCTCAATGTTGTAATTTAATTAGAAAACATAAATTGACAGTTTTCATATGATGTAATTCATTTTTCTAATTAAGGGTGCCATGACTGATTTGAATTAATTGCGCAAAAAAATCGCCTAGAAATCTGTTAATTCATATAATTTAATCAAAAAACGCATTCAGATGAATTTCAAAATTTTTCATAAATGGTTTTTGGATATAAAGAGAAAAACAGTCACTTTATTTAACGTTTTGGAAATTCGACGAAAAACTCCTGATCTCTTTTAGTTTAACCCGAAAAACACGTTGATATTAAGAGGAATTATTTTTGATATTAAGAGGTTATTCGATATTAATAGTCACTTTGGTGAATTTTCGCCGAAATTCGACGAAATTCGCTGAAAAATTCCTAATTTCTTTTAGTTTAACCAAAAAAACGCGTTTAGAAGAATTTTCAAAATTTTTCGTATAATCCAATGTTTTTTGATATTAAATGTGAAATGCTTTTTAAGTAACGTTTTTAAAAATTCACTTAAAAATTTACTATTTCATGTAGTTTAGCTAGAGAATGAAAATTAAGATTTTTTAAAATTTTTCAGATAATGGGATGCTTTTCTAAAAACTAAAATTTTTCAAAATTTTAATGACTTTAATTTCTCTATTTAATATTTTCTATATATACTAATATGCATTTATGCACATTCCGATCGTTCAATATCCTAATCTCATAAAATTTATACTATTAAAAATTTATTTTTAATACCGTGTCGAATTTTAAAATTGTGTAAATTGAAAAAAAAAAAAAAACATTTCAAGTTTAATGAAATTTTAATACACCGAAAAAAAAAAACATTTTTTTCTCAGAAATATTATGAATTTAATTACTTTTTATGTAAATTATTAGAAAATTTCTGTAGAAAACTAAGAGAAAAAAAGAGTAGTATACAAAAAAAAAAAATATTAGCAACAGAGCAGTTAAGGTATACTCAAAGTCTGGAAGTAAAGTAATTTTAGAATTTTTTTATTACTTTGCATTTCTCGCATGAATAAACATTGCAAAAAAGAAAATATAATCGCATAGTCATTTTCAATTTACACTTTGAAAACCGTGTATAAAATTTAGTTATTATTACAAATGCACATATGTGGATATACGTATATACATTCATATATGCCATAAATAAATGGTATCCTATATAAGTTCGATGTTTTAAAAATCATCGAATTTCCATTGAAAATTGTTATAACATTTATTAGTATAGTAAAATGTAGTGAAAAATTTGTCACAGGAAGCACGTTTAAGTATTACTCTAAAATGATTGTATATTTCATGTTCAACTCTAAATTGTTTATGGATTCATTTAGTTGTTATATAGGTAATAATTTTGTGGTGCATAATTTCAATTGTATGCTGCAAAAGTCATTACAATAAAAGTTTAAAACTTTTACACAGATCATTTAAATCGTTGTTGATTGGATTCTAATTTATGTTGATCCATATAATGAGTTAATCTAAGAACATACTCGGTTATTTTTCGTTGTAAAATTTCGAAATTTAGTAGAATTTCTGTATAATTGTGTTTTGAAATTCAAGGAATTGATAAATTTATGCGACCCTTAAATAATTCAATTATATTCGTAAATTATTAAAACTTTGAGATATATGGCTGGTAAATCGACTTAATTATGTAATTTCCTTTATTTAAATTGACATAGAAACAATATGCTGTTAGAAAATGAAAAAAGATAATTTTATAAAAATTGCATATAAGAAGGCGCACTGAAAGAACTTTTGTTGTTTTATGAAATGTCTAAGCGAGCATTTCGAATTGTGTTGTTTTAAACTAATTTTTATGTCCTAAAAAATCTTGAAAATTTCCTCAAAAATCTAAGATATAAAATCAATAATTTATTGGTACTGAAAGGGTTAAAATAAAACCTGATTATATAAAATTGTTATACACACATAAACAAAACAATAAAAATTAAAAAAAAAATCATGGCAAAAATTATAGTTGTAATATGGAGCTTAGGTCCGATATGAAAAAAATATAAGAATAATAAGAAGGAAAAATCTTAATATAAACTCTTTATAATGCACACATAACGCTCCTATTAGAAATTGAAAAAAAAAATTTTTTTTTCGATGATCGTACACTATTTCCTTTTGTTATGTATATTTAACACGTTTAACTATTGTCAAGTATGTCAGTCGAAGGTAAACAGCACAGTAAAGAAGTACATAGTTCTGAAGTATAATTTTTTCGTTCAGTGAAAAATCTCTTTTTTTTTTCACACTTTAATTCAAAATGCCGGAATTATGTAAGTTGCATATTATTTGTCAAATTATAATAAAAAAAATTAAAATTAAATTAATATTGAAAAATAAAAAAATTTCGCCTAATTCGACTTAGCATTTTCAATTTAAAGTTTAGGTTTTTAATGTGTAGGAAAAAAATTTTGATTTTCTTATAAATTTACGTTTATAATTTCGAAATTAATTGAAGATATTTGACATTTGACATTAAATTAATTTAGTCAGTTTTTATTCGTTACCACAGACATTATTCATTTATACAAAAAAATTTGATGTTTTATTTTTGATTTTAAAAATTAATAGCGATAATTCATTTAAATTTATTGTGTTGTAAACCGGATTTAAATAAAAAATTTTTAAAAATTATTTATAATAATAAAAAAATAATTTATTTTATATAAAATATCCAAATTAAAAAATGACTTTTTTGTTTCAATTTTTCAATTCTGCAATATAGAGAGAACAAATAATAAAAAAAAATTGAAGAAGATTAAATTAAAAGAAAAACCTACTTAATTTCATGCTGTTTTCCAAAAAAAAAAAAATATACCAAAAAAAAATCCAAATCAACAAAATCAAAACAAACAAAACCAAAGTATAACAGATCAGGTGTATTTATTATATAAGTGTTATTTTAACATCTTTTGTTTTCTCTTTTTATTTATGTTTTCTCTTCCAACCAAACACTTTAAATATTCCCATAAGAAATCATTTAGTAAACATTTGTTTGTCTTTCTTTTGTTTTTGTTTTTTTTTTTTTTGCTTTTTTACAAAACAACGTGACATGATAAATTTTATATTTTATAATTTATGAGAGAACACAGAAGGTGAAAAATGAAAAATTTTTCATATGAAATTTTTATAAAAAAGATTTTTTTTTGTCATTTTTCATTTCTCTTTCACCTCTCTTGCCTCTTACAGTATTTTATAAAAATAACAGAAAAAGAAAAAGTGTAAACGATTTTCAATTTTTAACATTTCTCACTTCTCACTTTTTCAGTTTTTTTTTGCTATTATTTTTTCTTTTTTTGTTTGTAATTATTTGAAATGAACGCATAATTTTGACAAGTGAAATATAAAATGTTTACATAATATTTGCATTTAGGTGAGAACGGTTAATAATAAATGTAGTAGAAATGTAGGTTTAATATAATATGTATGTTGTCATATACTAGTGTTACTTTCATGCTAGTATTGTTTGTTTTTTTTGCGTAAAATAAAATGAAATTAGAGCTGTTACAGAAAGGGCATCTGTTTAATTGAAATTGAATTACAAATTGGAGAAATTTCTCTATAAAATTTGATGATTATTCTAAAAAAAGAATTTGAAAAATTGTTAAAAATTGATTCCGAAAAATTTTAAAACTAATCGAGCAAAATATTTAATTAAACTCAAATAAAAATTTCAAAAGTAATCAATTGTAATAGAATTTTCGATTTTCATATTATTTAATAATAAATAAAAATATTCGTAAAATATCAAAAAGAATTCGATATATAAAGAAATAATTTGCATTAAAATTATTAGAAATATCTACAAAAAAAAACAAATTAATTATTTTAATTCAAAAATGTTCCAGGTATTAGAAAAATATTTTAGAAATTGTAAAATTTAATTAAAATTATTGATTTCTAAACTAAATACGGCAGACAAAATATACATACAAAGTTTTAAAATTAACACAATTAGAAAAAACAAATCCAAAAAAAAATTTTTAAAATTTCCATTAAATTATTCAAAAATTTTAATATTTTTGTTAATTTTTAATAAAATTTTTTTATAATAATAAACAATAAGTTCAAATATTTTAAGAAAATCCAGAAAATCTGAATAATTTTTTTTTTCCACTTTTATTGTCTGTTTTTATACATAGTTCAAAATATTAAAATTAGTCCAAAATAAATAAACTCTTGCTAATTATTATTATTAGCAACAGATGGTGTTAAAATATTTTAACACGATACTTATTTATTATTCTATAATAAATGTATTTATAATACGCCTGTCATTGCCATAATAATACGAGTAACATTAAAATTTGAACAAAATCATGACTGAAAATCAATTGATTTTATTAAATTTATTTTTTTTTTAAATATGAAAATTATTTCATATGCATATGTATGTAAGTAAATAAAAAAATTATTGATATAATTAAAGAAAAATCTAGAAAAAATATTTATAAATTATTATATATTTGGCATATTTCCGGGAAATTTTTCATAAAACGATTGATGCTTTCATAAAAATTTACTTGTTCAAAAGAAAAACAAAATTTCCGCAGTATTAAAAACATCATATAAATTTCAAATAATTTTTAAAAAAATATTGTTATGTAACTATAGAAACTTCATAATTTCTATATATTTTGTATGTACTTTATTTAGAAAGTTTTTTTAATATCAAAGTGTGTATATGTATGTATGTACATATATGTATATAGAGTCGATTATAAGAAGAAAATCTAGAAAATATTTTCATCAAAGAGAGTTGATTGTGTATAAAAGCAAAAATCTTAATTTTTAATGGAAAGAGAAAAGCACTTTTTATTTGTTTCTAATTAAAAATAAAATTTATTATAAAATGGCTTCAATTGATTTCTTGTTTTTTCCTAAAAAATATTTTTATATGGAGTAGATTTTGGTTCTAATTTTTCATAAGAATTTATGAAAGTAAAGCGTATAAAATGTGTTTTTGTTTTTATTCCTATTTTTACTGATACTTAAGGAAAACGTAAATAAATAATTTAACGATTATTTACGCATAACATGATTTTATAATTTTAATTTAAAAAATATATGTATGTACGTAATAAATTTATTGAATTATATGAAATAATATTAAATTTAATAGTTAAATTACACTAAAATTTTTAAATTAAAATAATTTGAAAGTTAAAGCTATTAATTGAGCCTGTTTACGTGTGTAAACATAACGTATGCACAGCTTTGTACTTATCACACTCTCTTTTCTATAAATAAAATTTTTTTTTAATACAATAGGAGGCGTGAGAAACATAAGGGATAAACTGTGTATATACACTTAATGTATATACAAGTGTAAACAACCCCAATTTTATTAAAATTTTTTTGAATTATCTTTTGTACTGTCACATATTAAATGACTTATGCAGATGTCATTTTATAGATATAATCTAATTTTTGTAATTTTGATAATTAATATATAAATTAAAATTTTATTCACCACTTCATTATATTGTGTATTATATACAATTATACCTATATTAACGAAGAAATAACATAAAATATTTTATTTTCGGGTCAGAATTTACTATTTGCTCTTATTTAATATTCTATAATACAAAAATTATTACAAATTTTTTAATGACAAATTACAAATATGAGTCATAATTTTAACTCTAAATTGTTTAAGATTTTAATTCTGAGTTAGTTTCATTAAATGATCCGAAGATAACCGAAATGTTCATCAAAAAGAAATGTCATTTATTTTCAATAAAACTTGTCAAATGCGATTTAATTCGAATAATTTTTTTAAAACTACTATATTAAACAGTTATGTAATTTTAACTTGAACAGAAAATTTTCTAATTTATTTTCAATTTAATTTTAATTTGTATATTTTTTTTTAATTATAAATTTAATTCCTTAAGCATAAATTCAGATAATAATACTCGTAATATAGTAATAATACGATTAATAATTTATTTTGAAATAATGGTGTGGTTAGTTTGATGTTCATGCATACATATATATTTATTGAAATTTTCAAGGATTACTAAAATAATTTAATAATAATATTGCATATATGTATGTGTATATAACAAAAAATATAATTTTTTTTTTTAAAGAATTTACTAAATAATTTTGTTAAAATTTTCCTTAAGGCTAAAATCGTTGAATAAATGCTATTCATATTAATAATATAACACAATTATATTATAACAATGGTATGTGTAGAATAGCTTTATTGTGTAGAATTATTTATAAAATATGAACAGGTATACATACGAACATGTATACATACATACATATTATATGAAATTGTTTGGTTAATTTTAAATTCGCTTGTATATAGGTAAATTCATATAGAATTACCTTATATTGTTATAAGTTTATAATCATTAGGTTTCTAGCTATAAATTTCAATTTAATTTTCACTTTTAAGAACTTTATTGCTTCTTTTGAAAAATTATTATTAAATTAAATTTTAAATGAAATTATACACCATTTTTATTATACTCTTTTCATTCAATGAAAATTTATTAAAATAATTGATAAATATTTTCTTTTTTATTAAAAAATTCGAAAAAATTGTGAATAAAATTTTTTTTTAAGGAAAATCTGAAATTTTTCAGAATTCTGAAGTTAGTCAATTTAGCAATATTATTCGTGTAAAATTATTTATATTTTAAAAATATAACAATTTTGAATTTCAAATTATTCACCTATATGCGGTGTGATTTTGTAAAAGTATAAATATAATAATGATGACATAGATTTCTTAATGAGAAAATTTTGTGATTTATTCTTTATTCACAATCAAAGAATGTTTATGAGTGAATCAGAATTTTTTTTTTAAAAGAGATCTAGTTTCAAAAGTGTGAATGAGTCGTTAATACATGTATGAGTCGTTCATACATGTATGAGTCAATTTAGTATATGTACGATTTCATTAAATTGACTTATATTATGATATAAATGAGAAAGTATTTTATGTAATTTAGCATATTTAAATTGATTTTAATTGAACTTTAATTAAATAAGTATTAATTTGATAATATTACTCTTTCATACTAAATAAATTTATTCTAACACTAATTGTTTGAAAGTGTTGCAATAATACAAAATGATAGAATACATTATGTTTGAAAGATAATGACTATTTTTTTCCAATTTTATAAAATTTTAGCAATCATAAAAAACTAAAAGTTTAATAACAATTATATAACAATAATGCACAATCTCATTCAATATAATAATATTTTTTAATCCGAATTTGTATATTATGAATTATGACTTGCTA